CATTCTGTTCTGCGGAGCGAACGCAGGGGCTGGGGTAGGGGGGAGGCGAAAGCGCCGTCATATTTTTGCGCGTGGATTTTCTTTAATCGTTATTAGATGGTGTTAGATAGCGAGTGCGATCTGCGCTGTTAAACCCCGCCGCCTCTTGATGGGGTGGTTTGGGCTGGGTGTTTTGTTTTGGGTTGGGTGGTTTTTTTTTTTTTTTTTTCCTTTCCTCTTCTGCAAGCTCGGCCGCTCCCCGGTCCCGCGTGGGCTCCGCGGTGATGCCGGGCAGGGGGTCGTGGTGCCAAATGGGAGATCGCGGTGCTGGGAACCATCCTTCCCAGGAGCTTGGAAAATTGCATTTCTTGTAAAGATGACAGTGGCCAACCTTAGCATCTATTTTTAGTGGCGGCGTGGTGAGCGGGTGGCGTGGGATGCTCCCGGCACGCCTCCTGCCCGCTGCTCTCCCGCTCCCTTTGCTCGCTGAGTCGCTCCTTTCCTTTCGGTCCGGGCAGGTGACTAACTGCCTCCGCTTGCTCTTTTTTTTTTTTTTTTTTTTTTTGCTTCCCCCACCTCTCGCCACTCTGATGCTGCTGCACTTTTCCATCACTGCCAGCCTCTGTGCCTCAGTTTCCCCATCCACACCTGCTGGGGAGGGATGCTCTGGGCTGGAGTGGGCGGTGGGGGTGTCTGGGTAGACGCGGTACCCCGGGCTGCTCTGCAGGGTGGGGAGGGTTTGCTGGGTGCAGGCAGGACCTCCCAGCTCCTCTCCCAAAACCAGTAATTGCTGTGCCTCCCCAGGGGTTGCCTCGGCATTGCAGCCCCTCGTGTCCCGCTCCCGGCATCCCGGGGGGTGGCACCCCCATGTCTCACATGTCTGCTACTCCCACGGGCGCTGCCTGCTTGCCTGCCTGCTCGCCAACCCCTCCCCTCTTGTGCAAACCCCCCTCCGAGGCATTTGCCAGCCCTGAGTCACTGGCATCCCAAAGTGACGGGCTCGTCGGTGCTGGCAGGGGTGCAGGCAGCAAAGTCCCGTGACACATCTGCCCCCGCAGAGGCTCTGCCCATCCCAGCTGCTGGGGGTCTTGGGATGCTCCGTGGGTGACATCGGGGGCTCCCGGAGGTGAGGACCTATTGTGGTCCCCACAGGGTAGGATGGGGCAGGGGGGATGGCCCAGGCTGGGCTGGCGATGCTGCGGTGCTGGTGGGACGCATCGGGAAGAGCCCACAGCCCGCTGTGGTGAGCTCTCCAGGCCGTCGCCAGCCGTTTCCCACCAGTAACAAAGCCACGCTCCTGCTCGGTGCAGTGTTTGGACCAGCTGGAAGAAGTTTCACTCCTCTTCCATGGCCAGTGGTCCCAGCATGAGCATCCCTGCAGGCCCTGCGTCTGGGAGAGGGGTCAGCACCGTGCTTGGCAGCTGGTGGCCGAGGGGACAGCTCACCTCGGCCTCTCTCCGGAGCAATATATCCATATATGGGACTCTGGGCTGCCCCACGCCACCAGCCCTGTGCTCTGCCAGCCCCGGGATGTGTTGTGGCTGTCCCAAGCGGGTGCTTCCCTTGGTCACCCTGCAAGCCTCTTTTGGACCCAGCTCAGGGTGTATCCCCAGGATGGCCCGTCCCGGCCATCCCCAGCTCCGCGTCGGGCAGGGAGGATGCGTGGAGGATGCTCGAAGGGCAAGTGCCGGAGCCAGGCTGGCCGTGGCCATGCATGGGGCACCCGGCAGCGCGGCAAAACCTGTTCTGCCGAGAGCCCCGGCGCACGTCCCTGCCGGCTGCCGCCAGCCGTGGGGTGAGAAGGCGGCGCTGGCAGCCCGACCGGCGCGGGGGGGTGTGGGCGGGGCGAAAA